TTTTTTTTTTTTTTTTTTTTTTTTACGTGGAGGAAATCTTCATAAGACACCTAAGTCTTTTTAAGGGAAGATCCAGGTAGTGTCGGATTTTTACCGACTAAAAACCTCCACGATGGCCGTCCTTCGCACGTTGGGAGAGCTCCGGGACCTTTTTATACACGCAGAGCTCTCCCGTGCTGTTGTCCTAAAGGACAATGTCTTTTTTTGTTTCTTTTTTTCGCCCGAACAGGGGCCTCGAACCCTGGACCCTCGGATTAATAGTCCGATGCTCTCTACCGACTGAGTTATCCTCACCTCCCGATCGAAGGAAAACCATACGAAAAGTGGCGTCGAACAAGAAAATTAAGTAACTTTCTTTGAAACGTTAGGTCAATAATGGATCTTCCTTTTTTTATTTTCAAGGCCAAATCATAGACGCATTTATGACTCCGATCTTCGGAATATTGGTGGACCGGTACCTGAAGAAGAAGATCTGGCATATAGTCGGTTCAGCGATGATCACGCTGTCGTTTCCAGTGATCTTCGGTGGTTTTAGCAAACCGTCAAACGCAGGCATCATGCTTGTCTACGTGCTCAGCATCGCCGTGTTTCAAACTGGCTGGGCAGCTGTGCAGATATCACACTTGTCCATGATTCCAGCGTTAACGGATTCACTGCTGCAACGAGCAGATTTAACTGCAATAAGGTAAATTTAACCGTCACCCTTTTAAAAACTTTTCTCATTATTTTTAGCGACTTTGAACTTTATGGGGCGCAGGTATTCCGCTCAAGTTGGTGCAGCTGTCGCGGTGTTCGTTGTTACGTGGATAGTTCTACCCACGAACGAAGGAGCAATGGTGCGATTGGCCGAGCAGGACAGTTATAAGTTTAGAGTGAGTTTAAATTAGACTTATGAGTTTAATTAGATTCGTCAGGCTAGACTATGCGTGTTTCTTTTTAGAATATCGTGTTGACTTTGACGTCCATCGGTCTGGTCGCCACTGTACTCTTTCACATATTTTTAAAAGGCAACCTCTTGGAGAATTCCGATTTGCGCAAAGGGAACGTCGAAGAAGCTAGAAGACTATTCGACAATCCCGAAAACGATCGAACCTCCTGGGTCAGTACGTCGATTTTACTAAGGGTAGCTATGTTGTACGTAGCCAGCAGGCTCTTCATCACGCTGGCAACTGTGTATCTGCCATTGTACATAGAAGAAACCGACGTGAATGGGAAAGAGGCCCTCGCTACCGTTCCGTTGGTCTCTTACTTATCCTCGTTTATCGCCGCTTTGTTGCTGAAGTATATTAACAAGTCGTGTGGGACAAAGGTGTGTACGTTTAACTGAAATGCGCTTTTCACAACTGAGCAGCACAGCTGAGCGGGATGTTTGTGTCATCATCGTAATGATAATGCCGATCTTTTGTTTTGCCGCCAGGCGTGTTATTTGTTAGGCACTTTAATTGGAATTCTTTCCGCTGTAATTACCAAATACGGTGGCAATTCCACGGCAATTATATACATTGTCGCGATTCTAATAGGAAGTGGAAGCTCGATCACAATGGTTACAGCATTGAGCGTGACAGCAGAAATAATTGGTCCACGGACGGAGCGAAGCGCCATCGTCTACTCGATCGTGACTTTCCTCGACAAAGTCGTTACGGGCCTGGTTGTAATTAACATCGAGAGATGGTGAGGAAGTCGATCAGTTTTAAAGAGACTGGGGTATCAAGCGGACAAGAAAACTATACTCGTGTTTATTATACTTGTGTTTCAGGAGGTGCACGGAACCAGCGTTCTGTCCAAATTACAACAGAGACACTTTGGCTCTCGTTTGCGCTCTCTCCATGTCTTTGGGACTCGTTACGCTATTTTCAGTTTCGCGATGTTTAACATAACGGAATGGGGCAGACGTAACGGAAGCTACTTTATTTTCGCACTTACGTTTTTACTCTCACGCAGAAAGGAATTAAACCCTCGTTATATGGAACGTTTGAAAAGAATAAAGAAAGAAAAACCTCTGTCGAGGCAAAGTCAACTGTTAAATCTTCCCGCCATGATGATACCACCCGCGCGGTTAACCGAGACGCGCGAGATCGTCCTTACCGACGCGGCCGAAGTTTCCGAGGACTGTGGCGCAGATGTCGCGGCAGGGCTGCGGCACGCACTCGGAAATTTCCAACGAAACGGACCGGCGTGGTGGCAACACGAGAGTACGATGACCTGCTCGATTTACGCGTTACGTGGCGAATCGTGGTTGCGTCGTAGAACGTAAGGCAGGATCCGTTGAATTCTGCTTGGCCGTCGTGCCTCGTCGGAGCACACAGCACACGGTTATCGTACACGGGCCTAACGATAGACGCGAACAACGTACGCGTGAAAAAGGGTGGGGAGCAGAAACGAACGAACGAACGAACGACGAACGAACGAACGAACGAACGAGCGAGTCGATCTCTGGAAGAGCGACAGAGAGGTCACGACGAAAACGAGAACGG